CCGACATTATGCGGGCCGCTTCGGTGCGATACATACCGCAAGGGCTGACAGTGCCCGCACTCATGTACGCCGACATCATTGCATTTGTGACCGAAAAACTACCATGGTGCGCTGAACAGCTCCGGGCTATACCCACAACACCGGTCGACATTAGACACGCACAGGTGTCGCTGTTTGTCGGCGAAGTTAACGGCTTTAATATTATGGCCAAACGAGTGGCAGCCCTGAGGGCCGGGCGGGACATCAAGATCACGGGATCTGAAGCCGAACTGATGGCCAAATATAAACAGTTGGAGAAAAAGATATTGTATTTGTTGGATCACGTGATCAAAGTGGCCAGACATCCCTTCTGGAGTATATTCCACGTACAAGTAAGTGCTACATTATTTTAAAATTAATTAAGATAATTATAATTAATTTTTGTTTATTAACCTAGATCAAAGAGTTTTGGCTGAAGGAGTTCCCGAAACTGGAGGCGGCTCTCAATGAATTGCCTGCCGGTGATGTCAAGCTGAGAAATATCCAGCTAATTGTCATGGATCTGACCCATTCTACATTGCCGCCCTTGTAATTTGTTTACGGTGCATGCGCAACAGTTAAAAGACATTTATTTATATTATAATCTTTATATTTAGAAAATTATTAACCATTTAATGTTAGTTTTGTTTAATTTAAATATAATATAATCATAAATAATTATATATTGTATAATTTTTTATCGTTCAAAATAAACTTAAAAATAACTATTATTATTATTTTGGAAAATACCATAAGTATAGTTTTAGCATAGTAATACTTTATAAATAACACAGCCTTGAGAACACCACTATATCAATCATGATTGTCAATAGTATTATTAAGATAATTATAAAAATAAGGTAATATTTTATGGACTTTATTTCTATTGTGTATTATTTTTGTAATATTTACAATAACTTAACATGTTTACTGTGGGTTTATTAAATGTTGTTAAAATTGTTATTTATTACAGCATTTGTTGCCAAGGGTATAATAAAACTATTGAACAATTAACTTATTACTACAAGATAAATGCAATTAAATATATAAAAATACATTACATTTTACGTGTATTCAATTAAATGTCTATCCGTTTACAAGGAGATTAAATTAGATTACATTTTATTATTAACAATTTTATTTACATGGTGTTTTAATCAATTTTGTGTAATGTAACCTATTTATAACTATATTGATCAAATATAAATTTAATTAAACCATATATAATGGATATTAACCACATATAATAAACATTCAATTTTAATTATAGTTATGAAATTTTTTTGTTTATTTGAACTAAAAAACTTATGATAATACAAAATTAAGTCATTCTTTTAAAATATTACTTTGTCATAATATTTACGGTAATGTTAATCAATAATTCATTAATGTAAAAAATGAAAAAATTATGCAAAAATAAATAAAAATTGCACAAATCAAAATTTTTATTTAGTACAATTGTTTTTTATAATTATTAAAACATTAATGTTAATTAAATATTACCTTGGTTACAATGAAACATAAATGCATTAAAAAACTTGATTTCATAAATACAATACAAGGAAATTAGCATTAAGTAAGCATAGAGTTAGCATTTATTTCAATGTTATGACAATAATAGAAATGTTTAGATTAATTATAAAATGGTCAATACTATGTATGGTAATTGCTTTTTATTTTGCATTTACACAGGGTATTACTAAATCGCTTACTTTTTAAATAAAAGTTTTTACAAAATATATACCATATATACAGTGATACCAAAAACGGACGATCCGTTTGACTTTGGGGAGAAGCCCACCGAATATGATGTGACGGAACATGTAATTAGTTTATTAAAGCCAATCGCAGATATGATGCGTGAGGCAGAAGCCGAGTACTACCGGACACAAGGGCTTACAGTTCCCATATTATTCTACGAAGATCTAATAAGGTGGGCCGAAGAAATACTACCATGGGCTAGAGATCTACTACTGGCTATTGAACCGGAACCTATTCGGCATGTTATTGTAACGCATTTTGTCTCACCAGCGGGTAACTCGTCTATAGCTTTATATAATTTTGAGAACTCAAGT